GCCACGCGGCTGAATCACCCGGAGCTTCACGTTAAGAGTCCCCGGCGCGCGGGGCACGCCGGGAAGGCTAGACTCCTGGCCCGCCGGCCCGCGCCCCACGGTGCCCTTTCCGACACGCCCCACGCGTCCGAAGGAGGATCTTCTCACGCCTGTACTGCCAGGGTAGATTCGATTTCTGAGCTGCGGATACCTTCTCTCTCAATTATTAAAGGTATAAAACGGAAAAGTTAGTAGTTAGCTGAATTGCAAAATAACTCGCGCAGCCCCAGGACAGCTAATGTTTATAGAAAATTGTGGAGTCCCGATATCTACATTTGAGGGAAGGAGGCAGTAAGAATAATGGAGTTCCCTAAACACGTTTAAAGAACGTGTTGGAAGCCCCTATCCTGGGTATTCATTCTGACCAAAAAGAGGAAAAGAAACGCATTTTTCTCAAACACTGAGTTAAATGAAACAGCATGCTATAGCAAAGTTGAATTACGATTTTTAAATCAACCGGGAGCAAATTGTTGGAAAGCTCGTTGTGTTACGAGAGACAACAACAATAACAACAACAATATTCAAAAGACATCTAGGTATAATTTTATAAAATGAATGCTAGAAAACACAAGGACAGAAATATCAATCCTTTCTGTTATGATTTCTAGTGGCTTTTGTACTTTTAAAAAGTTATACTAATTAAATAAAACGTTAAACTGATTATGCAACCATTCTACTTTTAAAATGTTGAAAACCATATAAGTTAATAACAGCATGGTTTCTTAAATTCTGAGTCAACTTCTTTTTCGTTACACAAGTCTCTCAAAAACTAATTTGGGGCTAAGGTTTAGGATTAGAGTTGAAATGTTAGGAATATGAGAAAATATTTGACTCTCATTCCACTAGGTTGTAAATGGTTGCTGGTTACTTGTACCGTATAGCAAAATTGCATTTTCAGAGTCGACAACATTAATTTTAAAAACTGAAACTATAACTTTTCATTATTATTTGATTTTAGAAGTCTAGAGTTCATTCCCCATTTTTACTTTTTCACTTCATTTATAATGATTGTAGAGCATCCAGTACTCTGAATTAGGATGGGCCAGGTTATGATGCTGCACTAGTCACCTGAAGGGCAGGTAACTGTACAGGGCAGCTTACCTTCATGTGGTGACTCAGCAGTCCCAGTTGCTTCCATCTCTGTCTCTGTCGACCGAACACTAGGTTTCACATTGGGGATGGCAGAAGAGCTAGATCAAAGAATCCTGTCAAGGCTTTTCTTTGCCACATTTGGACATTTCATTGCTGGCCATTTCATTGGCCTGAACTAGTCACATGGCTCAATCTGTCTAAGAAGGCAGAAAGGTATAACTTCCTGTGTGCCTGGAGAAAAGGAATATGAAAAGTTATTTAATGAGCCCATAGCATTGTCTCTGCCACAGTGTTCAACAGTAAAAACAAACAATTTGAGTAAGTGTTATAGGACCCAAACTTTACAACCAAAGTAACATATTGTTCAATGCCTTTATTTCCATTTCTCTAATGTACAGTGTTATTCCCTTCAAGTCAAAAGGAAGAAAGGAAATAACCTTTCTAATGTTCCTGCAAGACAATTCTTGAAACAAATTCATCCTTTCTAGAAAGATTTCCCTCTGTACGTTTGTAATATGCAAAAATCTGGCTCAAAGTTTGGAGGATCAAGCTAATTACTATGTCTTTTAATTAATAGTTAAGACTAAGTAGTTCTATTTTTATCTGTAATTTCATATAATGAATGAATAGCATATCAGACCTGGTATCATTTTTTGAGTCGACATCAAGGAGATAGAGTATAAGAAATGTATATTAACAGAAAGCTTGGGTATATGCTGATTTTTATCACCTTATTTCTACTTGAGTGCATCTCTAAAACCTGAATTTCTCACCTGTGTTTGTATCTGAAGCCATTTGACATTAGAAGGTAATGTCAAATTGGCAGACTTGGAATTTTCAGTTGTCATCATGGCCAATTCAAAAGGCAATACAATTCATCTCATTAACTGTTATTTAAATCACTTTAAATATAACATCTATTAAAAGTATTACAAAGCACTTTTTTCAATATTTTACACTTAAATTTCTCAACAACTCTGGGAGATAGATTTTATCACTCAGATTTACAAATGAAGACATACGTATCTAAGGTCATTAAACTACTAAGTGGTGCTGATGAACTGAGAACTCAGATCATCTGATGCCAAAGTTATTGCTCGACATCCACTGAGATACGGCAGTTCCACTTAACTGCTTCCATGTGAACTCCTGAGCATTTCCAAGAGGCACCGTACATGCCTCTAGCTGTTAACACCAAACAACTAATTTAAGGTTGACTATCTTAGAATGAAAATATTATTTAAAGTAATAACTATTATCAATTATCATGTAAGAAACTATTCTTTCTACATACTACATCATATGACAGTAGTAAATATAAAAACAAACTAAAAATCCCGAGATTTTTGAACTCTCTCAAAATACATTTGCAATTTTTTAAACTAAATGGTTTAGTTGTATGATCTCCGTACCACTGCAGACATAGAAATGAGACTTTTTGAAAGAATGACCACTTTCATTTGCAGTCCAAATTGTGCTCAAATATAGATGTAAATATTTATTTATTTTCTGACTTTCTAGAGGGAAGCCAGAACCCTGCATATTGACCCAAAATAGATTCACAAGAATTCCTTTTACTTCATTTCCATCAGTTGACCTTTGTTAACAAACTCTTCATGAAAGTCACAAAGGATTACGAACAGCAGGAAATAAAAACTGGATGAATACATAATCAACCAGAGAATCAAAAATGTTAAGTTTCTTAGTGGCTGGAATTTGCTACTATATTTATTAATATACATCTGCTTTATGTACAACTTCAGTGTGCCTTTTAGTCTCATTTATAGGGAATGTCTCATCTGCAAATTCAACAAACAAGGCATAGGACCCCATGAGAACTATGTTGATGACGATGTCAAGATCTCTCCTCTAAATGAACTTAAAAAGTTCAGTTTGATTATTTGGGTAACCAAATAAGAGATAAGGGGAAGTAAATCTACATAAAAGTATTCCACTATTAAGTAAAAAAGAAATGATAGAACATTCCAATTTTGTAACCTCTTGCGAATTAGTAGATAGGCATTAGGCATCAGCATCTCCAAAGATCGTAAAAAGAGAGAGAACTACACATTATGTTTTCTCTTGAGGGAAGACCACACGGTCACCTAAAATGTTACTAAAGGGAGTGAACCTAAATCTGATCTAGACTTGAGGTCCAGTGGCCAATTTGTAGGAAACACAGGGAACAGAGGAACATGTCGAAGTGCACCATGCAATTTGCAAAGTCCTGACTATGGAAGACTACAGGTCAAAAGGCCTCTGTTCTTCAAGAAATCAATTGTAAAGTTAAAAATAAAACTTAAAAAATATATCAAAAAAAACCTGTTAAGTGTGTCGGTTGGGGGCGTGGAGTGAGGAGGAGACTATACTATCTGGGAGTGAACATTGGAGTGGTAAAACCATTAAAGAAAAAGGGAAGTGAATGAGATTACTATAAACATTAGGATAATGGTTATTTACTTGGTGGTAGTGGTAGGGAAATGGTTGTGTCGAGAAGGGACACATGGAAAGAGTAGGTAGTGAAGTTCTGTTTCTTGACCTGGTGGTGCTTACAAGGATGTTTGCACAAACATTAAGACAAACATTTCCTTTGTGCTGTCTTCTGTTTCTATGTTTTATTTTATGATAAAAAGATTTTAGAAGAAAGTTTAGAGGGCGAGGCCAGTTCTACCTAAGAGCTGAAATATATTTTCTCCACACAGAGCTATTTGCAAATGTATCCATTTAGTTTCCTGGGACAATATTAAAGTTAAATTATTTTTAAAATAAAAATAAAAGCTTTTTAAAAATTCCTTAAAGGATATTCCACATTGTAATACAATTTTGAAATTTTATTTAGATATTCTGTCTTTTTAGAAGGTAATCAACGAGTAGGTAGCAGAGTGTATTTTGAGTAGAGGAAAGGTATAATGGAATGATGAAAAATAAGGAGACTAGAATAATTTTTTGAAGCTTAATGGTTAAATTCCAATAATAGTCAGGAGAGTAATCCATAAACATTTCCCACTGAGATTTTGATGAGGGCATGAGCTCCCCTGACTTTCCCCCATCTACATGCCAGGACAATGTCTTAGGAATTTTTGAAAGTATATGGAATGCTCAGCTTGAGATTCAAGAATGGAACAAACCTCTGTAAATAAAAGCCCTGTGGGAAGAAAGAATGAAAGAATCAAAAAAGGTAGAAGTATGTTACCCTAGGTTTCAGAGGTGGCTGGGTGTAAACTGATAATATGTTTATCTCTTACTACTCATGTTACCAGTTTACAGACTCTGACCTTCTAATCCAATGCCCCAGCTATGCTGGCTCACATTGCCTCTATTTGTGAACACACGTCTCATTCTTGAACTCAATACTGAGAATGCTGGGAAGTTTTTTTAAAACTTATATGAGTTTTAAATAAATTACATTTGGAAAAGAAATAGATAAGCCCCCAAATATATATTCTTCCAACTAGGATTTGAACCAGTGAACTTTAGGTTTATGAAATAGACTCCAGTCACTCACTAGCCACCACCGAAAACCGTGAGATTCTTTTCTCTTGCTCAATTTATACCACCTCATTTCTCCAAACTTCCAATAACCTAGAAAAGGCAAAATCTGTTCACAAAAGCATGTGTCCTGGCCCCTTCCCT